GGTTGGACTCGGTCATCTTAAAGGTTTTTTTTCCAACCGAAACAATTCCATGATTTTATGTCCGGGTTTTTTTTGTTGTTGTTTGTGGTTGGTTGTTTTGATTTTTGCCTTTTTTTTTTTTTAACTCAGATTGAGCTTTGAGGACTTGCTAATGTCCAGGGGTAACAGCATCTTTGGTGCATAATGGCCCCCAGCATCACAAGCGAATAAACTTCCTTAGTTACCATAGTTCTGTCAGGAGGAAGCACTGAGGGTGCACACACATCTCCCTTACGGATTAATTGAGCTAATGGCTTAATTCTCCCTTTCCCAGCGCGCCAGCAAGGCTCTGTGAAGAGCGGGGGGATTCCCTCGGCATTATATTTGCAAATCAACAGAGACAGCAGCCTCTGAGTATTATGAAGCTGAAGTGAAAGGGGTTTTTTAAGTCTGTTGAGCTGGAGTCTCTTTGCCCAAAGAAATAAACACAAACCGTAACTTGCTTTTGATAGCATTTTGATGGTATTTTGTGTTGAATATTCTACATATATTTCACTGAAATCTGCCACCCGTGTACTCTCAAGAACAGCAGTCTGTGGTTGTGTTGCTTTTTTTCCCACGTGTTAACACAGAATGTATCCTTTCTTTAAAAGATTGAAAAGCCTACACCTATCAAATGTGGAACTTTTGGTGCTACATCTCTGCAGCAAAGATACTTAGCTACAGGAGATTTTGGTGGAAACCTTAACATCTGGTAAGCACGCCCATTCTCTCGAGGCTCTTTCATCTGACGCTGCCTGTTGACCAGATGTTTCTGTATGTGGCTGGCTTTTGTCTAAGATGCTCCTTATGCTGCATGTGGTTGGGACCTGGTCGTAAGCTTCGCTGGCTACTGTATTTGGACCATTCCTGTTCTGTAAAAACAACATGAATCCTGCACAACAGTTTAATTTGGTGCCAGTTTACTTCCATGATCTGTGTGCAGCTACAAAACCCTGTTGAAATTCTAGGTCCTTTTGAGAAAAGAGGCTTTTGAATGGATGCAGGAGTATAAGAGGTTGTGTTCAACCTAAATTTAATACCTAGATACTTTTAATCTTGAAGTTTCAAATGTTCCTTCAGGTCCCTGAATGATTTGTAGAATTAGTTTGTGTAGGTAAATTGATTATCAATTAAAGATAAAGGGTCCAAAAGGGTTTTATTATTATTATATTTCCCTTGCCAAAGAACTATTGTTCTGTTTTGTTGGAATAGCAGGGTGGCTATGGACTAGTCAGTAGCTGAAATTTAAAATAAAATTCTGAAGGATTCTAGAAGGATGAGAATCCATGGGAAAGAAATGAGAAACCCACAGTTGGGTGCAGGTTTCATCTGAAGTTGAAGAGCAGTAGCCAGAGCTAGGTAGGGATCAGTCAATAAAGTTATTTTCTATACTTCCTGAAAATAAGAGGAATAAGAGAAAATGAAAAACCTGGTTCTTACGGGTTGCTGTGGTGAATCCAACAACTGCCTTTAGAAACAAGGAAATCCAGAACTGAGCAAAAACTTCCAGACCAGTCTAAAGCAGCAGCCAAAGAAGGACTCAAAGACTCCTGGTTCTTGATGGTGATATCTGTATTTTGTATCCACTGTTAGTCTGAGCTTACAGAGTTTGTTCTCGAGTTGCTGCTCATTTTCATACGAATCCTGAGTGTTGAGGAAGATGCCATTATCATCTGTTCTTTTTCTTTCTTGCCTAGGAATTTAGAAGCTCCAGAAATACCAGTGTATTCTGTGAAAGGTCATAAGGAGATCATAAACAGTATAGATGGTGTAGGTGGCTTAGGAATTGGGGAAGGTGCACCAGAAATTGTGACTGGCAGTCGAGATGGTGAGTTAGTGAACTCTGAAAGTCTTTTCAGTTCCTCTGAGAGAGTCTCCTGCGAGCTTTGATGGCAGGGCACAGCCTGCCATCTGAACTAGTTACAAAGCTCTTGCAACTAGTTCTTCACGTGCTGTCTTTTCCATCTTGCTTGGGACAAACTCCCTCTAATTCTTTTAGAAGCTGCTGTTGTCACTGAGCATGGCACAGAAGGAATAAAAAGCAAAATAAATGAAAAGTAGCAGCTAGAGAAAAATATATCCTTACAAAATACTTTTGCTTTATTTCTGGTTTGTTTGTTTGTTTGTTTGTTTGTTTTCTGAGTGCATTCTGGCCTTGTGGAATTGGAAGAGATGCTCCTGTGTTTTGGATGGTCAGGCTGGATAGCAAAGGCCTTCCCTGGGGAGGTGAATGCAGTGTGAGTGTCTCCATAACACAGAGCCCACTGTCCTCCTTTCACAGGAACTGTGAAGGTGTGGGACCCAAGACAGAAAGAAACTCCTGTCGCCAACATGGAGCCTGTGCAGGGGGAGAGCAAGAGAGACTGCTGGACAGTAGCCTTTGGTAATTGATCAGATGATAACTGTTCCTCCCTCTAATAGGACTGACTTTGATTGTCAGAGTATTTCAGAATGTTATGGAATAGTTTATTTTGTACAGGCCAAGCAGCTTTTGCTTTTCACCCTTATCAAATCTACATTGTTTAAATGCTTTTTTCAGAAGAAGATGATTTTATGACAGTTTGGTTTCAGACTCATTCTCTTATCACCTTTCGTCATCATTTGTGGTTGGACTCAATGATCTTTTCCAAGCTAAATGGTTCTGTGATTTCACAGACAAGCTGTGCAAGCTTTATGCTGTGCCTGGGAATGTAAAAACAGTATATCCAGCTGTGCTGCCCTGAAGGAGTGTAAATGTTGCAGCAGTGCCCAGAGAACCAATCACTGTTGAAGTGTAGTTCCAGCAATCAAGCACCAAGGCACTAATTTAAGAGAAGAGCCTTGAAGCTAAGAGTTAATTGAAGACAACAGTGAAGCTTGATGTATGCTCTGCATGTGTCTTTTGGAGAGAACAAGCTGCTTGTGTTCTGTGCAGGCTGGTAGCTCTGGATTAGCTCCATTTTTGTCTCCAGAGTTGGGCAGTAAGTTTTACAAGCTGCTAATAAATCCATGGATTATAATAACAGGATGGATAGTAAGGAGATGACATTTCCTGCAAGAAGGTGCAGCTGTAACACATTTTCTTCAGTTCTGAGTTGCTGAAGCTTGAGCCAGGGGCAGGTCCATGGCTTGCTGCCTGCTCTCGGCGATCTCCTTTCAGACACTGACGTGTTCCCTCTCTCCTGTCAGCTGGGAGCATTTGGAGCAGCCTTCTGCTTCTGTCTGTTTGTTTCCAGGGCAGCACCCAGGGCAGCACCCAGGGCCTCCTGTGCATCACCTGGGTCTGCAGGAAAGTCTCCTCATTCCACAGACGTGTCATGCTCAGAGGCCTGGTTAAGGAAGTGCTGAACCCCCTTCCACTCAGGTGCCATGGCACTCTCTGAGGAGTGTGTTTTATAGCAGGCTGAAAGAGAGGGAATGCATTTGTGTAGGTTGACAGAGTGTGCAGTACTTAGGCTGTGTGGTTTAGGCAGAATTTTGTACATGTTTTTAAGAGAAACAGACTGCCAGTTTTGAAACTGTATTTTTTCTATCCCCTTCAGGTCTGAAAACCAGCTGGCTCATTAAATCTTAGTATCCCAATAGTGATATTTTTCTGTCATAAGTTGAAATTGCAGTCTTGGGAGGTCTGAAATCTACAGACTGAAGAGGGTTTGTGTTCTGATTCATTCTTTCTCTGTGTCCAGGCAATGCTTACAATCAAGAGGAACGTGTTGTATGTGCTGGATATGACAATGGGGACATTAAATTGTTTGACTTAAGAACCATGTCACTACGATGGGAGACCAACATTAAGAATGGGGTAAGGAAACCATACAAATATTTTTCATTCCAGCTGCTATGTCAGATGGAAAAATTAAAAGGACTCTGTCTAACTGAAATTTACCCAGATCCTTGGTCTGGATAGTGTGGGTTATTTTTCAGCGGATTTGTGTTTTCAGATGATTTTGTTACTCCCAAATTTGGGATGTTGTCATATTTTGTAAAAATAACCAATGATCAACATATATTTACAAATGAAAAAATCCTCCTTTTTTTTTTAGCAGTGTTTAAATTTCAAGGCTGAATGTTTGATCAATTTATTTGTTTTGTTTCTTTTTTTTTTGATATTTCCAGGTTTGCAGCTTAGAGTTTGACAGAAAAGATATCAGTATGAACAAGCTGGTGGCCACATCGCTCGAGGGGAAATTCCACGTGTTCGACATGAGAACCCAGCATCCAACCAAAGGTTTTGCTTCTGTTTCAGAGTTCGTATGGGCAGACAGGATTTCTTAATAGCAACAGGAGACAAACTTTTTGAATATCTGCTTTTAAAGTACTACAGGTCTAAAAACTGTTGTCTGTGATGGGTAGTAGGTTCCTGGGGCATGAGCTGTGTGGTGGTGTAGCCCCAGGTGCAAGCAGTGGAAGGGCTCCTGTGTGTCCAGCTGCCAGCACTCACCCAGGGTTCCTCCCTTCCATAACACGATATTTGGGCTTCTTTGGGTTTTGTTGCTGTTGCACCTCTGTGCACTCAGCTGTCCCTAGTCTGGGAGTCCATATTAAATTGTGATGAGCATGCAGATTTGAAACTTAAATATATCTCAGAACAAAGTGAGCCCTCTGCAAACACTGCTCATCCTGCAGTCACCAGACCTCACATGAGACATAAGAAATCATTCTTTTTCTTCAAAACAAAGCATTTTTGGATCATGATCTCTCCTGTATGTCCTTTCACTTGTTTGTGTGACGTGGTGGCCTGGAGGCTGTTAAATATGGAGAACTCTTATAACCTTTTTTCTTCCATCTGTGACCACTGTGTTGATGAGTATCTTTTTGACAGTATCTTTTTCTTTAGTGAACAAAATCTGATGACAATTAGAGAAAAGAAACTTTTGTACTGAAGTTTTGCAAGACTGCATAAATTAAAAAAAAATGAGTTTCAGCTTAATATCTTTAATATTTTCCATACCACCATTCAAAGCAGATAAGTTGCTGAAAGTACCTTGATTACATAACAAAGTATTTACTGAATTACTTTGTAATAACCAAAACATGAAGATGGAATTTCTTGTCTTTCATTCACTGCATTTCAGCTTTTCCTTTTGGGCACCTGCAGACAGTTCTGCATCTGGTCAGAGTGTGTGTTTTGGGGTTTTCCCCTAAGTGATTTCTGCTGCTGTGTGATCTTTCTGTGCCCTGGCTGAGGTCTAAATTTGAATTATAGGTTGTTTGTTGTGCTTGCATGGTGTTTGTAGCATATTTCCTTACAGCAATGATTCTGTGTGGTCTCAGACAATGAAATTAACCTTGTGGTGACTGTGCCACCTAAAAGCCTGGGACTCTTGTAGTTCTGGAGCAGTTGCAGAGGATGTGCTTTTGCAGCCACTTCTCCCTCTCTAACCTTGCTCACGTGGCCAGTCCCAGAGAAGCTGAAGCAGCAGTGAGCAGGAGCCTTGGTGGGGCTGCTGCCTTGCCCCTGCAGAAGAACAGGGTGCTTTGGAGCCTGAGGTGGCTTCTCCTGCGTGGGGACTGGCCGCTGCTGTGGCAGCAGGTTGCTGGAGGAAGGGAAGGTACCTCAGAACAGATGTTCTCATACCCACCATGAGGTGGCTGGCTTCTCCTCATACAAGCGATTGGCATTTTAAGACTCTGCATCCTTTCTTGTGGAGCTCCTCCATGTCTGACTTCTGTGTGATGCTGGTTTTTGTTTTTATTAGGCACAAAAATCTACCATATGGCAGGTTCGGCACCTGCCACAGAACAGAGACATATTCATGACGAGTGGAGGAGCTGGGAGCCTTCATCTCTGGAAATAGTAAGTGATCACCCTCCAGCCTGCAACAGGGCAATAAGAAACCAACCATTTAATCTTTTAAGAAAGAATCTTCTGAAAATGATGAGTGGAGGTCTGCTTCCAAGTTCTGACTATCAGTTAAAATTATTTCCTACAAATGCAGTAGAATGGGTGATTTCATTGTCAGTACTTAATCTGGAATTTTGAGTTAATCCCTACAAGAATGTGGTAACACCACAGGTGAAGTTTGCCCTTGCTAGTTTTCTTCACATAATCAAGATCTAATTATATCCTTGGTTAACAAGGTGATAAGTGGAAGAAAATGGATTTCTGAAAATTCTCATGTGGCAGCAGTTGTGTCCGAGGAGAATATTGAAAGCCTGGACTTTTAATGATTCTTATGTTTAAATCTTACATTACATAGCAAAATAATTTAGTAATCTTCAATGCAGTGAAGCAGGTGCGTTGTTTCAGAGGGACAGCTGAGATGAGATTTTCTCACCTCTGACAAAAGCCAAGCAGTGAAAAAATGAAAGGCTATAGGAGAGAGGTGTCAGGATTCAAAATTTCCTGCCTAATTTTTTCTTCCATGAAACAGTTCATAAGTATGCAGTGTGGCTATAGCTGGAGGTGATTATTCATAATTTCTAAGGCATTTATTTGCCTTGTCTGTGGAGCAGAGGAAACGCTTCTTTTGGCAATAAGGAGGCTGGTGATGTTTGTATCAGTCAGTTCTGAGCAGGTGGCTGTTCTCCTTCTCTCCCTGCCAGCGAGTACCCGGCCCAGCGCTCGAAGAAGGACTCTGAAGGAGCTGAGATGGGGGTGGCAGGTTCCCTCAGTCTCCTGCAGAACGTGACTCTGTCCACGCAGCCCATTTCGAGCCTAGACTGGAGCCCTGACAAAAAGGGACTGTGTGTTTGTGGTGCCTTCGACCAGACCGTGAGGGTGCTGATAGTTACGAAGCTCAATAAGATTTGACAGAGAACTAGAATTTGTACTGTGACCGCAGCATGGTTTGCAGCCTGTAAATATGGGGGGGAGAGCCCTCCTGGCTTTAATTTAATTTCTCCCTTATTAAAACTGGATTAAAGAAAGAGAAATGAGATCTTTCTATTGAAAGTTCAGATACGTGCAGTTAGAGTTGCTTGACTGTGCTGCAGTGATGTGACATTTCCTGGGCACAGTACTTTTACCTTGTAGAAATGTGAATTCAGATTTAAAGTAAAATGTGCCTTTGTGTTAGCACAACCTGTAATTTCAGAAATCACTTTAAATTGTTTGTGTTTGGTTTAATCACAGTACAAATCTTTTCACACTTGATAAGTGGTTTGGCTTTTTTAAGTGGTATTGTCCATTTGCACTCATGCAGTGGAAACTACCATATACTCCCTGACAGAAACTCTTTGTGTTATTTGGTATATTAATTAAAATATTATGAAAGTAACTTAGGATTCTTTAATACACTATAGAAACTATCATGAATGCTGAAATATTCAGGTTTAATACAGTAAGCTTTCTGTTGAAGATGACATTGAAACTAAACTCTTGAGGAAAATGCACTGGTTTTTTGTTTTAGTTTGGTTTTGTAACAAGCTTTTCTGTTCTGTTGGTTTTGTATCTGTTTGCAGCTTGGTATTCTACAAATAAAATTATATGGAGTGTTGTCTTACTGTGAACAAAGTGTATTATTCAAACATGCAGTGATTTAGAGTAGTGTACTTGTGTAGGTTTAGAAGAACTGAGTGCAGTACTTGGATAAAGCTTAACTCACTTTGCAGCAAAAGTCACTACAGTTTGCCTCTCCTGTTAAAATCTTTACAGGTAGCCCAAGTACTGTCTTTCGAGGTTTTTAACAGAATCAGGATTTCTTCAAAACCTGATGTGACAGAGTAGCTTTTTTACTGCAGCTTCACCTGAACTTCTCTTTGCTATTTCCCTTATCTCTAATGTTTCTTTTTGATTTTACCAGCATGTGCTGCTGCCAGTTCTTGTGAGCAGACACATCCAGTTACTGTTCTCTACATGTGGATGCATGGTGGGGCCTTTCTTAATTTCAGTCAGCTCTAGTGATTTCATTTGTCACTTCTTTGTCTGTTATTAGCTTTCAGCAGACTTGTATGTGTAAGTTGCAAATAAAAGTATTTCACCTTTTCTGAAGCCCAGTTGCAATGGGAGAATGTCCCACCCCAATCCCTTTGTCCAGGTTAACAACAAAAAAGCCCCAGTGTGGCCACTTCCTCAGACTGGGAAGGAGGAATTGGTATCTGACACATTCAGGTGGGTCACCTGTGTCCCATCAAGCCTAACCTCCCAGGGACTGCTGCTGAAAACTAGAGGCTTGTCTGTGGAGAGAGGTGCTAGGGCCTACTGTCTGTACTGGTCCTGCCACCAACTGGAGTCCAAGCAAGACGTAGGAGGAAGAGGAATTGGCTAAATATTAGGGAAAGTGGCAAATGGGGGAAGCGACGTGGAATCCAGAGACTACTGAAAGTAGAAGTGGAAACAGGGTTGGAAGGAGAGGTGAGAAGCTCTAGCTGAAAGATGAGATAGTGAGAGATGGCAAACCAAACATGCAGAGCTGGCACTATGTGGTGTCCTCAGGCTGCTGGGACAGCTTGAAACACTTTCCAAAGCCATCTGTCCCTGCAGTTTGCTGGGGACTGATGAGTTCTCTGCTGCAGCAAGTCACATGCTAGAGGGTGGGGTAGGTCTAAAAGGCCTGAATGTGCTGATGGATCCAAAGTGGACACTAGAATCATGGAATGGTTTGAGTTGGAAGGGACCTTTAAAGGTCTAGTCCAACCTCCCTGCAGTGAGCAGGAACATCTTTAACTAGAGCAGGTTGCTCAGAGCCCTGTTCAACCTGACCTTGAGTGCTTCCAGGGGTGGGGCATCCACCACCTCTCTGGGCAGCGTGTGCCAGTGTTTCACCACCCTCAGTGTAAAAAACTTCTTTATGCTTCTGTGTTTGCTACCACATCTCACCACCTTTCCAAAACCTAGAAACATTACCCATCCAAAGAATGGGAAGCAGGACACAGATTTGCCTGTGTGTTGTCATTCGGCTCTGGTTTGCAGAGCACAATGGCTTTGGACTGCAAAACTTGGCACTTCTTCCCTCATCTAAGATTCCAGCTAAACAGGAGTGAGATAAAATTGTCCTCGGTAACTCCTGGGTATCTTAATGGATTAAACCAGTTGAGGAGAAAGAGTGCAGGTACCTGTGGGTAGAAAAGGCTCACAGGCCTTTTTTAACCTTGAACCTTGTGCAACAGAGAAAATATTAATGTTGGTGTAGCAGAGAGGGGGCAGCAGGAAAATTGCAATAGAACATAAACCAAATGTGTCCATGGAAATCCATGGTTTGGGTCAGTTGCTGATACTTTGTTCTAGCTTGCCTTCAAATTTCATCTCTTGCTTCTGGGGTTTAGGAAGGGCCCGTAGGGATGCAATCTCTGTAACCAATAGGAACAAACTGAGAGGTGTCTGAAACTGTAACAAATTCTCTTACTTCCAGGAAAGCAGCCCTTAGGTTTGACCAGTGGGAGTCCCCCCCTGTGCATGAGGGAGGCCTTTGCTCAGTGGTTGGCACTGGGAAGGTGCCCAGCGTGGGCAGAAGCACGGCGGTGCCCTGGTGAGGTGGGTTCTGAGTGCTGAGGGCTTGCACCAAAGCTGCTGAGCCTGAGCCCAGAATTCCAAGATCCCCGAGCGAGGGCTAGTGAAGAGTGTCCCTCTGTCAGAAATGCCTCGTGCCATCTTCTGGGGCAGGTGTCCATGCAGGCTTCACTTTGGTGTGGCAACCAGATTGGTTGTGGAGCACGTTAGATGTACATTGGTCTGCGAGTGCTCTTTCAAGGGATGGAAGCTAAATATTTGGTGGAAGATTTATGAGATCCAGCTGTCTTCCTTAAGACCTGATGGTTTGCTTTCAAGTGTAATATTTAGTATATGATTTTTTTTTTTTGACAGAAGTAATCCCATCTGCTTGTGTACATAGCGTAATGCTGAGAGCATATTCCAAAATAATTGTACATGTCCCTCTTGGGGTGTGTCCCAGCAGGAGCAAACAGGGGAACTGCTGCTCTGCCATCTTGGCTGCAGCTTGCTTGGAAAAGCTGGGGCCATGGAGTTCAAGGAATCAGTTCAAGTGCTTTGAGTCTAAAATGTGGTGTTCAGAAATGGCCTCCCTTAGCTTTGTGCTGTAAAGAAAGTGGACTCACTGAAAGGTACGTTAGGCAACAGAAATTGGTGGAAAGATGGTTTGGTTTCTTTCTTTAATAGTGATTCTGAGTTAAGCACAGAGTAAGGGAAGAAGAAGCTCCCAGTATAGGTACCTGTGAGGGAGAACAAAGAACTCTGAGTGCAAGACTGGACTCTTGGTGGTATTTTTATTACGTACTCAGCCTGCAGCAAAAAATGTCCCTTCCTTAAACAACGCCAGGATGAGCTCCTAGTGAGCCTATGTGGTGGTGATACAAATCAGAGCAAGAATAAATCAACATTTTGTAAAGCTCCAGGGTCCTCCAAAAGTTAAAATGTGTGTCACCTCTGGGTACTTAATTTTGGGGTTCATTTTATTATTTTGAAAACGAAGGAATGCATTTCCCTTGTGAGTAGCTGGTTTCATGAAAATGCATGGCAAGAGTCTGCAAAAAGCTAAGAGAGCTGGAGGGAAGCCCTGTCCCCCTTCAGGAAGGGTAAGTGGCAGTGTACCTAAAAAATGGAAGATGGTTCCTGGCTGGAGAGAAGAGCTGGTGCTAGTGCCTGTACTGTGCTGTATCTCCTCAGCAGATTGGGTTTCTGCTTCTCCCAGGCTAAACAAGAAACTTAAGCAGACCAAAAGCTGCCTGTGGCAGCCCAGCCCGCTCTATTTATAGTCCTTCCCCTCTGGCTGAAGTCTGGCACCTTGCTTCTGCAGCCTAGAGGCTGGGGAACTGAAGTATGTGCTAAATAAAATGGTTAATGCAGCAGAGATGAAATGCACAGGGCCAGATCCTCTCTGAGGCAGCACCAAGAAGCACTGTGGAACACCCCTGCCCTGCCCAGGGCCAGGGCCTGGAATGTGCTCCTGAGTTTGGTGGCTCTGCCACCGGTGACCACATTTAACAAGTACATCTGCTTGGCACTAGCACTTGTTTCCTGTGCAAACCATCCTGGTATGCTCATGGATGAGAAAAATCTGTTGATGGGCATAACTGCAGCCAGAATATAGGAATGTGTTACACAATTGTTATTTTGCTTGGGTTGTTTGTTTGTTTGTTTGTTTGTTTGTTTTTTAACAGGTGTTGTCCAAATCCCAGCTATTACAAATCAAGATGTTTTTCTTTCACATCAATATGGTTACTTTGACTCTCACCATTTGTACAGGACCTTGGAGATTACAGCCCTCCAAGGTTTCTATGCAGGTAGTCTATATTTGGCCTACAGTATATAGTTTTAATGACAAAAAAATGCTTACAGCTTAGCCATGACTTGGATGGAGTTTTAAGCAAAGTAAAGGAATATATAATTCTGTATAGGAAGCTACAGAAGAGTGTGCTGTCAAGGGGCAGGGGCAGGGAACATCCCCTATTGTCTCTGATTTTTCCAAAGCTCAGCAGTAATATAGGAGGCACTCGAAGCCAGAATCGTCGACAAAAGAGCCATGGCAGAAGAAAGGACTGAGGAAAAAAGTTGTGGCATGCCAGCATTTGAGGATTTACCCAAGGAAATTAGAGCAAGCTCATGTGTGAACTGTCTTAGTTCATAATTATTGCTTGTGCCACCCAAGACAGCAGCGGGTCTCTGAAGGGCAGAGCTCAAGTGGGGAGTACATGGCAGAGCTGTGAGGTGCGTGGCATGTCCCAACATTTGGAAGTGCACATGCCCTTTTCTCCTCACAGCCACTGATGCTGTCAGGCACGTCACAGAACTAGTGCACAGAAGGGAGATGGGGAATTGCATGGAAAAAAGACATCTGACCTCCAGTGATAGCTTCA